CCCAACCCTAAACCCCCCCAAAACCCGGAATACTCATCTCTCACCCTAAAGCCTCTGGAATCGCAAATACTGATCCCTGAAAAGCCCTCGAACCCATAATGCGGATCTGCACCCCTGAAATCCATCGTCATGATGTAGGCGCCCTAATAATTAGAATAGGGTTTTGAGGGTTCCTCATTATAACTATGGTATAATATAACCCCAAAACCCTATTCTAAATATAAAGGCCTCTATATTACACCGCAAAATGCACAACCTAGAATACTGATCCTGAAACCCTGGGATGGCTAGAGTGAGTAATTACCGCCTTGAACACAGAAGAGAAGGCTTTGGGGTACGCTATGAAATAGGTTTAGGGTTTAGGGTATAGTGATAAGGAGCCGCAGGACTAGAATTGGGCATGATTCAGGCTTCTATATGAGATAAGTGCGTCCCCGGCCACTGATCCTGAAACCCTGAAACCCAGAGGCCGAAAGCCCAGGATACTGATCCATAAACCCGATAGGGTTTAGGGTTTAGGATTTAGGATTCCTGAATAACTAATTACCTGTACTATTTTGGGGGGTTCCTTACTAGAAGTATAATATAATCGGCCCCAAAACCTGCTTAAATGGGAGTTTCAGAAAATTGGGGTACCTTATTTTGGGGTCCTTATAATAGGGATCCTATTAATTAGGGTACTATATTAGGGCCCCCTATTTTCGGAAACCCCCAAATAACCGAGGCGGCGGTGTACGGTAGCTTGGGTGCTCGGGGATCTCATGGGACATCTCAGCCATCTTGGTCGAGCGGGTCTCATTCGGCCCAGTTCCCAAGAGAACCCAATACCCCTTAACTAAGGAATAGACCTTAAACCATATAATATTAAGGCCCATAAGATAACTACCCCTTAATTCAGGAATAGACCTTAAATCATAATAGTAAGGCCCATATACTTTAAGGTATTTTCCTTAATTAGGGGGTATTGGGTTCTCTGGGTTCCTGCTCCTGGAGCATCTCCCCTCTGGTCGAGCGAATCTCATTCAGTCCAGTTTCTGGCTCCTGGCGCATCTCCCCTTGTTGGCACAACGAACGGTTCCTAGGAGGCGTGTAGAAGGAAGCCCCCCGGGCCGAGCCGCAGTTAAAGAATGGCACAACATGAAGTTTCAACCATGTTTAGGGTTTAGGGTTTTAGGTTTTAGGGTTTAGGGTTTAGGGCTTTAGGGTCTGGGAAACCATGTTTGGGCAGATTCCATTCAACCTGTCTCTCAGAACACCAAAAAAAGCCAAGAGCTCGGAAGCGTAGTGCCAAGATCCCAGAGCCTATAAACCTCAGGCATAGCCGATCCTCAAAACAAATAACCAAACCAAAACGCGAAGAAGCCGAAATCCGTTTCCCTGCTGCCCAAAAACCCAAAATCCCTGAACCCTTAAAACCCGAGATCCCCAATTTCCAAAACCCTGAACCCCCACAGCCCAAACAAAATCGCATCTTGAATCCCCTAAATCCCAACAATTCCTAATCCCCTACTTATAAGGGGCCAGGTACCCAATAATCATATACTCTCCCAAATATTAACCTAGATAGCTTCATATTGGGTCCTTTCCCTAAACCCTAAACCCTAAACCCCTAACCCCTAAACCCCTAAACCCTACTAAACCTTACTAAACCCTACTAAACCCTACTAAACCCTGAAACCGCAAGATACCTGAATTATCGGGTCCTTTGGGCCCTTCGGGTAGAATCGCAACTTCCCCGAGATCCCAATACTCCTTAATTAAGGAATATACCTTAAATTCTAGGGGCCTTAATATTATGATTAAAAGTATATTTCTTAATTAAGGGGTATTGGGTTCTCTGGGTTCGCCACCAAGGATGATCAGCCCCTTTTGGGCGCACTCCTCGCGGAACCTGATGCTCTGCAAATGCGATGTTTAGGGGTCTAGGGGTTTAGGGGTTTAGGGTTTAGGGGTTTAGGGTTTAGGGGTTCAGGGGTTTAGGGGTTTAGGGGTTTAGGGTTTAGGGCTATAAGGCTTTAAGGGTTTAGGATTTAGGGGTTCAGGGTTTAGGGTTTAGGGATTCTCGGTTTAGTGCTTTAGGGGTTTAGGGCTTTAGGGGCTTAGGGGTTTAGGGGTTTAGGGGTTCAGGGGTTTAGGGTTTAGGGTTTAGGATCATTTAGGGTTTAGGATTTAGGGTTTATTGTTCAGGGTTTAAGGGTTTAGGCTTATGTTCGGGGGCCTCGGGTCGAGGGTTGAGGTGTTTCTACCCAGAGAACCTGACACCCCTTGATTAAGGAATATACCTTAAAG